CATCTCTGTGTAGATTAGTTTATTTAGAATGTTAAGATGTTATGTATATATGAATTCATGCGAATATTTAACTATACCCAAAGGTATAGTATTTAGCTATAAAAAATGGATGAGTCCACAATGGATGAATAGATATACTTCATTATTATAATAAATAGCATATAATCTATGTAATTCTACATATTTTATAATACTAGTAAGTGACACGTGCGTTGCACGTGCTTTTTGATTTTTGTTAATTATTTATATATTTATTAATAATTTATTTCATTAAAATTAAGCTATATTATAAATAAATATTTAATAAATTAGTTATATGAATTAGTATTATGTTAATGTAGATTTCCGACCAGGTTAATTTTGCTTGATCTTGATGTAGCACAGTGTTGTGCATAACAAAATCTTCATATTCATTACTTAAAAACTTTTAAAGATAAGTGTAACAATTTTAATTTTTCTTCTTCTTTCATCTAATCCATTTTCGGTGATGTTTTTCTCCCTCGAAATTCTAACATCATTATTTATTTAATCATGTTGAAATATTTACTGAAAAATATTTTCTTATGCTATTATTTTTTTATTACGATATTTGTTTCTTCAACACCTCTCTAAAGACTGTATTAGTAGAATCACTTAATGAGAAAATACAATTATAATTAACTTATTGAGAAAATTAGAAACCTTCATAAAAGAATAATATAGATCGACACGACAAAATGCTAATATATAACCATTTATAAACAGTGATATCTTATTAGGGAAAAAAAATAGAATTTTATTTTATATAAGATATTATAATAAACTTTTGTAGCAATATAAGAACTTTGGTATAAAGAAAATATAAAGAATAGTTCATAATTTAAGTTTTACCTCATATATTTTGTACATTTATCTAGGGCCAGGGATCGAGGGAGTGGGGATGGGAATGGATTTACAGGGGTTCGAGGCAGCGCCCCTAATTTTTTTTTTTTTGAATTCTTTAGAAAACAAAAATAATTCTAAAGTCTACTTAATGTAATATAAAAATATACATCCATTGAAACTCCTTAAATTAAAAAAAAAAAAAAAAAAAAAAGCAGTATAAGTGCCTTTTTTAGTTAGGGGGCAAATAGTCTAAAATATATAATAAAAATAAAAAACTAATAAAAAAAATCATTTTTTTTCTAGATGGGCGGCTCCCCCTTGTGGTGCTCAGTTACGCTCCTGCTTTCATCTACTATAAACAATAAACGACTTACTTTTAAATTTCATCTTTTAATTTATTATATAAATTTATTGAGTGCAAATTTCACTTTTTCACTCTGTCTTCTGACCTCGAATCACTTTATCCCATCGTACACTCAATTGCATCGATTTACCCCGTGCACTTGTACAATTAATGCAATTAAGGCTATGAGGGGGTAGAGTGATTCGAGGTTATAGTACAAGGGTGAAATATAATTTGCCCATTTATATATGTTTTTCCCTCAAGTTACTGTAGATATAATGATATTAATAAAATAAAAAATATTTCATAAACTAATTATTTTGATCTAAAAACATGCATCCCATTCTCCAAAGTTTAATCAAAATTAAATTAGAAAGATAAACATATATATACTAATTTTTAATAATATATTATTTAAATATTGAAAGTATTTTGATAGCTACGTATGATAGTGATAGTGAGCATTAATAAGAAATTATAATATGAAAAGTTGCTCTAATACACCAAAAATAAATATTCATTAAATTATCCGGTGACAATTTTATAAATGTGAAAATATAGGTTATTCCTCTAAAAAAAATACGTTACTTACATACAGAAAAATCAAATCTCTAAAAGTTTGTTTTAATAAGAAAAATTATTATTTAAAGTTTAAAGTAGCTTAAAAATTATGTAAGATACTACAAAAACATATCAAAAATTATTTGTAATATCAAATATTGCATACCATTTAATTTAACCTTATATGGTTGTCTGTACTTTATTAGCAACTCAAATTTTAGGACTATTTATTTAATCTAACATAATAAGTTGTAGAATTATTTTTTCAATGTTATCTATTTATTTATTTTTATGTGAATTATTTTTTTCTTTATTCTCTTCAAATTACTATAAATGATTGAATACTGACAAATTAAAACATATCATAAATAAATTATTTGAGCTAAATGATGACTGAAATATAGTCAAATAATATATTATTAGAAAACTCTATTAATGTACTTTAATATGAATAAAATATGTTTTCACACTTCAAATTATTTTAGAAGTTAAAATAGAAATAAAATATTAAAAAAACACTTTGAATATGATTTGAAGACCCGATTTGCTTACTCTGTTGGAGATGCCCTAAGGTTTTTAAGTTTTTGTCTTTTTAGATCCTTAAATTCCAGTTGCAGCATATTTAAAAGAAGCTGGAAACAAAATAATGAATTGCACTGATCTCGAAAAAATAAGAATGATATATAGTCATGTTTGGTATCATTAACTAATGTTTAAATTTTACATGCAAAAGGGAAAAAAATAGCACACTACATAGCTCGATTTTTTGTGAGTATACTTTACTGAAGAATGCATATATAGTAGATCATTTTTTTTTCTTATCAAATCTATTTATGTAGCACTGATGCTGCATGGAACGTCTTTATGTAGCAATAGAGCATATATATATATATATATATATATATATATATATATATATATATATATATATATATATATATATATATATATATCTGTAGCCCGTACAAAAGAATGGAGAGCCTTCTTTTTTTGCCCTGGCCAGAATATATATGAAAGGTTTATATTGATGCATAATATATTTGATAAAAGATGGTATTGAAACGTTGCTTTGAAATGAATAGGGAAGAATTGGACCAGTTACACATAAACGTTAGTGTTTAGAAATTATTATCGTTATTTTTTTAAATTATTATTTCTATATTATATAATAGTTATTATTATTATTATATTATTATAATAATAATTATTATTAGTAGTAGTACTATATTATTATTATTATTAATACTATTATTTTATTGTTATTAATATTATATATTTATTACTTTATTATTAATGAATAAATATTAATTATACTACCCAATAACTTCAAGAACGGTATAAGTTACAAATAGGTGTTGATGTTTGATATTTCTATTATTAGGGACTATTAGTGAAAACCCCCTCTAACAGATTTTTAATAATGATTAATCTAGTCACTTTTATTTTATTAGTGATAAACCCAAGTATTAATTATCAAATTTACCCTTCCCCATTATTTGCTGCACATACTTTTTTTTATTTCTTTTCTATTTTTCATTTTAATTTTCGTTTTGTTTATTTAAAAAAATAGTTTTTTTAAATATTTTTTATAAATATTTTTTAATAACTAAAAATTAATATTATATTCAACATTTTTTTAGTTTCGTTTCTCCAAAATCAACTATAATATTTTCGAAATCGACTAAATTTTTTCTGAAAATCAACTAAAAGATTCATTTTTTTTTTTTCATATCATTTATTTTGAATCCAAAACGAATTCTTTCCCAACTAATTTACCAAATTGACAAATTACTACATATTATTGAAATAATTATAAAAAATCAAAATCAACTAAAAATGTTGAAAACAACTAAGAATACATCAACTAATTTTTTAATTCATATTTTATGATTTTTATTTTTCCAGCAGGTCATATAATTGGATAAAAAAATAAAAAATCAAAATCAACTACCAAAAACTTGAAAATCAACCAAAAAAGTCGAAAACAACTAAAACTATCAAAAACAACTAAAAGAAATAGCAGGATAACGAAAACAAATATAAAAAAATAGCCGAATAACAAAACAACTATTTTGCTGTAAAAATATCTAACATCAAAAGCATCACAAAAAAAAATCAAAAAAATCAGAACGATGGCGACGATAGGGCAGATGCGAGGGTGGCAAAATCTCTATATCCGGCGGTGGAGTTGAAGGGTGGAGGAAGGGAGGGATTTTTGAGTTTTTTATGTCGTCTTTTACAACTAAATCGAAATCGGAGCGATGGTGTCGGCGGCGGGACGAGAACTTCAGATCTGGCGGCTTGGACATCAATGTTGAGGGAGTGGAGACCAATACGAGCGCGTCCTTAAGGTTGTTCCTAAAGTCATCGACTCATGTTATGCTTTTCAATGGTGGATGGTGGAGGCTACGATGGAGTGGTTCTTGCCTGCACCATGGATTTATTCAGGAGAGAGAAAAGAGACGGAATGGGGGTATGGAGAGAACGAATGACATAAATTAGAGAAAAGAAGATGGAGGTGGTTGAATGGCGTAATAAATTAGGGCAGATGTGAAATAATATAGCATTTAGGGGAAATTAGATATTATTTATAGCAGTTTTAAAAAGAATAATTAAATTTAATAATTAAGGGGGGTTTGACTAATATTGAAAAATGAGTTATATCCATCCTAATATATGTAAATGATGTGGGGGGTTTTCACTAATTATCCCCTATTATTATTATAAATATGATATTACATATTTAGCCCCTTATGCCCTTACCAATTGCCTAGTGAGAAGGGTTTTTCTGTCCTCACAAAAAAGGGAAGAAACTCACCCATCATTCCTCCTTTTATAGATAGTATAGATTGTTCAAACGGTTTATGGATCACCTTTTGAACTGCATCGCGTAGTGCAGACTGCAGAAAGAACTGACTGGATTCTCGGCTCCTTCCTTGATTGTGCATTATCACTAGACGACAAAATGTTCCATGCCGCAGCCAGCACCTTGTTTTTGACCATACACACACACTTTATATCAAACTTGCGTATCTATGTATATGTATATATAAAATTAATATTTAATTTATAATAATTAAAGTGATCATTATATATTTAATTCTTGAATTACGGCAGCCACTATAGATCATATATGTTTGAATGTTTGACTCTCTCACGTACTATATATATATATATATGTAACTGTCCGTCCAACTTCATTCAAACATAACCAATTAAAACATTCACTTAATAATACACCCTCCAAACACAGAGAAATAAATACATACAGTAATTATGGAAGTGGTGACGATGATCTCATTTGTCTCTATCATCTCCCTCTCGGTTTCGATATTATTCGCATTCCTTTTCGGCCTCTTCTTCAACAATAGCAAATCCTCGACCACCATCGCCGCCGATCCACTGCCGCCGGGAAAAATGGGGTGGCCCCTTGTTGGGGAGAGCCTCCATTTCCTATGGGCGGGGTGGAAAGGCCACCCGGAGAAGTTTGTCTTGGACCGCATGGCAAAGTACTCGTCCAGTGTTTTCAGAACCCACCTTGTCGGGGAGAAAGCCGCCGTTTTCGGCTGCGCAAGCGGCAACAAATTCTTGTTCTCCAATGAGAACAAGCTTGTGAGGGTATGGTTCCCAAGCGGCATCGACAGAATATTCCCTTCTTCCACCCGATCTTCTTCCGAAGAAGAGGGCATCAAATTGAGAAGAATGCTCCACAATTTCTTGAAAACCGAAGCCCTTCGTCGCTACATCGGCAAAATGGACCATATGGCCCAATTGCACTTTGCAGAGGGATGGGAGAACAAGACACAAGTCGTAGTCCTGCCTCTCGCGAAAGACTACACCTTCCAATTAGCTTGCAGGCTTTTTGCGAGTGTGGAGGATCCTCAACAGGTCGATAGATTATCGAAGCCTTTCAATCTCTTGGCGTCGAGTTTGTTCGCCATCCCCATTGACTTGCCCGGAACACCATTCAATAAGGGTATTAAGGCCTCCAAGATTGTCAGACAAGAGCTTGTTTCCATTATCAAACAACGCAAAATCGATTTAGCCGACGGGAAAGCTTCACCCACACAAGATATTCTATCGCACATGCTTCTCACAAGCGATGAAAATGGCAAATTCATGCAGGAGTTCGACATTGCGGATAAGATTTTGGGCTTGCTGATTGGAGGCCGTGATAGTGCCAGCGTCGCGTGCACTTTTATCGTCAAGTATCTCGCGGAGCTTCCTCATATTTACGACGGAGTCTACAATGAACAAATGGACATTTTGAAATCAAAAGCTCCAGGCGATTCGCTCAACTGGGAAGACCTACAGAAGATGAAATATTCTTGGAACGTTGCTTGTGAAGTAATGAGACTTGCAACACCGGTCACGGGAACTTTCAGAGAAGCCATTGCTGATTTTTCATACAAGGGTTACTCTATTCCAAAGGGTTTCAAGCTATACTGGAGCGCCACTGCAACACACAAAAACCCTGAAATATTTCCCGAACCGGAGAAGTTTGATCCATCAAGATTTCAGGGAGCAGGGCCGGCACCGTACACATTTGTTCCGTTCGGCGGAGGACCGAGAATGTGCCCTGGGCTAGAGTACGCAAGATTCGAGATCCTCGTCTTCATGCACCATCTTGTCAAGAGGTTCAAGTTTGAGAAGGTCATTCCTAATGATGGTAAATTTGTTGTCGATCCAATGCCAATTCCTGCCAAGGGTCTTCCTATCCACCTCTTCCCTCATCAAAATTAAACCTTTACTTAATTATCTGAATATTTTTTCATGATAGTAAATTTTTTTATTCATATCACTAGCTCCGATAATTTCAGCTATATATATTTTTTATTTTGATTTGGTTTCTCAAAACTTTTGTTGCCTTCTTGATGAAATATTGCACGATGCCGTTGTCCTATCGGGTGACATTTAAATATTCGATTTTGTATACCTTTTCTTTGTGCGTTGAACGTCCTTATCTTGTTATTGTTTAAATTTCTTTTATCCATTTTCTCATTTATATACTTTTTTTAGTAAGTAATCTTGGTACATTAATTTTTACAAAGCATAATTCAAACCTTTGCAACAAAATCATTAAGGTATTGGTCCGCCTTCGTCTTGGAGACCAATTAACCGGACGACTCTGTCCATTTTTAGAACATTGATAAATAGTATTTAATCATTTGATGAGAGTCTGCATATGGGCATTATATGAAGTTATATTTGTTAACTTCATGCATAGTCTTAGCCGTCGAAATGGTGTGCTGCTTTAGATATAGTACACACACTACTAAAAAAATAGCTTTTTGTTACGAAGTCTTTTACTACGAAGTAAATTTGTACCTGATGATGCTAAAGTATAGCTCACCTAGGATGATGTAGAAAACAAGCAGGGAGAGCAAAGCTGATCAATAGCTATTCAACTCGATGATCCTGAGGTCCCTACAAAATGAGCACACGTGAACTAAGCCGGGGGTTGATCCGGCGGAAACCCCTCCGACGCTCAAGTCAGATGTACGGATCGTAGAGAGAATAGAGAGAATAAACTCGTGGTGGATTATCAATAATGAGAACGTACCTTTACAAATGAATAAAACTTCTATTTATATGTCGTTGATTGAGTTGGGCTTATTTTGTTGGGCCCAAGCCTTACTTTGAAGGTGCTTGGGTTTTCGTGTAATGGGCCCGAATACTTTCGTGTATTGGGCCTAATTATTAAATAAATTGGGGTCCATTGGGTCGGCCCAATTAGGTATATCATTAAGCCCCCCAACTCTCGATTCGAGACGGAGACTTGTGTAGAGGGACCCGGGTCGTGTCGAGAGTTAATTGCGTCGTGGAGTGAATTGTTTCCGTTGGTGGTGAATTAATTCCTTAATTTGAATAAGGAATCATTGTATTTATTTGGCAGCGAGGTATATATTTAAGGGTTTTAAATAATATACCAGGGCCAGATAAATAGACTCCTTGTGCGGTGGAGAGTATTAAACTTCAACGTCTTGCAATAAATATGGGTATGTTTTTTGAACTCTAGGTCTTCTGTGCTATTTTTCTCTTGAAATATTTTTTGTTTCTTGATTATTTGTGCGGAGAAAAAATTTAGTCATGTCGAATCCGGGTAAGTCGAAATCTTTGCGAATTAAACTCCGAGATCCGGTTGAAGGGGGTGAGAAAACTTTTGGTACGGTGGGTATAGAACGCGAGAAGGTAGTAGTATCGGGTACGGAAATCGGATCCTCAGTAGCTAGTTTTCGAATTGAGAACAATAGGGGAGATGTAGCAGGTTCTATGGTTGCTGGCTTGAGCCAAGCCGCCGGCCGGTCCAATGTGAGGGGGAGCGCGCGCTTCGAGGCTGACTTGGAGCCGAGTGGAGCCGAGCCGCCGAAAAAGCCACGTGGGCTGAATGTGTTGGGCACAGCTAACGAGGGACGCACGTGTGCGTCATTGGAGGAGAGAGAAGGGGGCGCGCGCGCGTCGGTTGGTGGGTTAGGTGGACGCGCGCGCGCCATTGGTCCACATGTCAAAGGTGACGCGCGCGTGGACGGGGAGAGCTTGCAACGACGCGCGCGCGCGTCTGGTGGGAGGAGTGAAACGGACGCGCGCGCTGGGGCCAATGGGGAGGGGGCACGTGGCGCTGGGCAGGCAGATGACGCGCGCGCGCGTGGATCCGCCCCTTTTGGGGCCACGCGCGCGCGTGAGGGCGCGTTAGAACCCGGTTTTGAGCCCGGTTCGGGCGAAATTGACGGGCAAATTTCCGAGTGTGCTGATTCGCGTGTTGTTTTAAACGGGGGAAGTTTTGGTCGGCGAGAAATTATTGAATCGTGGAGTGACGATGTAGAAGTGCATAAGGATATTACTATTCCCCCTATCGTTGATGAAGTGGGTTCTAGTAGACGTCATTATAGGCGTCAAGTCTTGGATTTTGGGAGTGATAGCGATGATTCGAATGAAGCTCCTTTGGCGAGTGAACATCCGGTGTCAAGTAGTGAAGTTGAGCCGATGGTCGAGGAGGAGGAGGAAGATGATATTCCGCCGGGTGATGTTGAGGTTGATAGTAGAAGGCAAAAGAAAAAGAAGCTAATTAATTTGGACTTAGTTGATTTTGACAGTGTATTGACTGAAGAGCAGTTGCATTCTATTCGCCGTTTATCTGGAGCGCCGAGTAATGTGGAGTTGTTGTTGCCTAGGAAGGGCGATCGCTTGTATTCGCCACCCGATGGGTTTCATACGGTATTTTTGGGGTACTTGATGTGCACATCCCAGATTACACCGCATCCTACCTTGTTGAAGGTTTGCGAGGAATTCAAGATTGGGTACAGTCAGCTAACGCCCACTGCTGTTCTGATGTTCCAGGCATTTCATTTTAGGGTGGTTTGAGTAGGTCTGCCTGTGTCTGTGAGTTTATTCAAGGCGTTATTTACGTTACATCGGCCCACTCAGATGCCTTTCTTTTGCTTTCATCCTCGCGTTCATTACCAATTCGTGAAGAGTGTGAAGCTATCTTTGGGGAAATGGAAGACCTATTTCTTTTACGTGAGGGCTCCCACTTTTGACGTTCCCGTAGTTTGGAATCCTACGTGTTAGAGTTTCGCGATAACTGCAAATATGGCGAAGAGGATTGAGGAATCTGGGTTGTGCGATGTGGAATTTGATCCGAGGAGTTTGATACCGACGGTGGAGGGTCAGCATCGTATATCCTTTTGTTGCCCTGAATTGTTTTTTTTGTTTTTTTGGTTTTTTTTTTTTTTTTTTTTTTTTTTTTTTTTTTTTTGGTAGTTCTTTGGTCATGTATACCTCATGTTTTTTTTTATGTGTTTGTTATCTTTTGCAGATGGTGGTATCACCTTTGCGGCACTTCGAGCGAAGGCGAATGGGACGTCGAAGAAGGCATCGAAGAAGGTTCCCTCTAAGTTGGGCGGTTCTTCGAATGGTTTGCCTCGCGAGGAGGTTCATGTGGAAAGTCCTCGAGTAGTAGCAGATGATCGTAGCAGTGCTGGCATAGTGGAAGAGCGTCCACCGAAGAGGGATCGTGGCAAGGGAAAGAGGGTGGATACTGAGTATGTGGCTGTGCCTAAGCGTCCACGAGTAGATCCAGAGGAGACTTATGCTTTCCATGGTGGAGGAGGGAAACAATTGTTTACCTATGGTGTGAATCGCGACGGTAAGGAGTCGTATTGGGATGTGTCGGACCATGATTTGCCCTTGTTGAGTACCGAGGGATTTGTTCGGGAGTATGATCGTGCTCGAATGTCTGGTAAGGGTCCTTCTCACATGTTGGAGTTAGCCGGTGGGGACATCTGTCGGGTGAGTCTTTGTTTACTTAAAACAAGATTAGGCGTTACTCCCTCTCTTCCTTGTGTAAATTTTTTTTTTTTTTTTTTTTTTTTTTTTTTTTTTTTTTTTTTAGTTGGTAGCGACTTGGAGATACCTCGTGGAGCACGGTAGGAATGCGGAAGCTAGTAAGGAAGAGGATCGGGCTCGAAGTCAAGCACGTGAGGATGAGCTTCTAAGTCAGTTGGAGGAAGCGCGGTCTGATCTTGCTCTACGCTCGGAAGAGCTTGCTCGGCGGACAGAGGAGCTTGCTGAGAAGACAGAGGAGCTCGAGGTTATTCGAAGTGAAGCGAAGGCATATAAGGATGATGTTCATAAGTTGAACGTATGTTACGATCAGCTCAAAGAGAAATATGAAGTTGAAAAGGCGACGGGGAAGAGGTTCCTCACGACATCAGGTGGTGTGGCTTATAAGGAGTCCATCGTGGAGGAAACCAAGGCTAGCTTCCGAGGTAGTGACGAGTGTACTGCTATGATTGAGGAGCACGCATTGGCTGTGGTTTATAAGCCATTAGTGCGCGCTTGTCGCAAATATCTGCGGGATGCGGGTGGTATCAGTGAGAAAGTGATTCGTGGGATGGAAGCTGGCATATCCGACGAAGAGGACGATGAGGTAAATGTCAATGGGACGGGTACAGAGCTCGTGGATGATATGGTTGCGGATGATTCTACCGTGGTTGCGTCTTCCGCTCGTGGTAGGGGAGTTTAGACTTATCTGTTAGGATAGTTAACTTTTCCCTTTTATTTTTTATTGCTATGATTTTTTTTATGGATTTCGTATTTTATTTTTATCGCTGATGTAGATGGGTATGTCCACTACTATTTCGTTTGAATTTCTTCCTCGTTTGACTTTGAAGTTTTATATTTCGATTTATTTATTTTGACATTGTCGAGAATGAATGCGTTGCTTCTATGTGTTTACATTAGCATTATACGCGATGTACTTGAGGAGGGGATCAATCTCCCAAGGTTTTTGTTAGGGGTCGTGCCCTTTGTTTGGACCACTTGGGTCTATGATATTTTTGTCCGTGGCCACGTTTTAAATGTAGTACCTCGTGACTCAGCTAAAGGGACCTAGATAATCCAGCTGGCCAGGCTATACGTATTATCTAAATCTCTCTAAGTGTTTGTGGCGGTGCTTTTGACTTGAACTCATAGTAACGACGGTAATTTGTATAGACGTAAATGCGTAGATAGTAAGCGCAAGTATTATTTAATCTACGCTTACCAGACAATTCTACACGACCATCAAGCGATATAAGCCATGCTTCGCGACGGCCTGCGTCTCCAAAACTTTTTCTTTT